AGTTAAACATCTATTTTCGAAAAAATAATAAATATCTCTCTGCTTCATCTAGTTTTTATTTTGTTTACGGTTGGCTGTTCAACCCTTTTGGATTAAATGGCTTGTTAATGATAAACAAATAAAACAAAGAATTACGCGTTTTTATTTATGGAACTGATCCTGTACAATAATAGTCAAAGTCATAATAATAACAGATAACAACGATTACGACAATAACAAATAACCCGTTTATTTATTTATTTATTACTGACTATAGCGAAAATAAATGACCTAGAGAAATTTAAGCTTATTTTTAATCGGGAATATTATTTAGGTGATGATTTGTTCTTGCAAGGAATTAGTACATATTTGTTTACATAACAATCCTCATGTTAATATAATTACCGTTACTGAAATCACACACATCAATCAATCAATCAATCAATAAACAATACTTTGTTTCCACTTTACCTCTTTAATATTGTCTCCTTCTTGCATACACCAACCCGTAAATTATTCAAGGAACGTGAAACTCTAATTCAATGAAAAACCGATAATCATGACGAATAATATCCAATCAACAATATTTAAATAGATAAGTTGGTTTCAGATGTCCGTTACTATGCTTGTCTTGTCTTTTTCCTCTTCAGTAATTTGCATCAGCTGACAGTTTCACATGAACCAGATTGCAAATTAGACCCCGAATGAAGTAAATAACATTAAATTGCAACAAATAACGTTACATACACACACGCCATTCTCATGCAAACAATCCTTTCTAGAAAAACTCCGTGCGACAAAAAAGAACCCCATTTTTAATTTCGCACAGCCAATTTTTCAATCAAAAATACTTTTTATATGTGTGTGTGCGTGTGTGTGCGTGCGCGCGCGTCTTTTCCAAGAAGAATCATTTTCTTTTAGCTTGGAAACTCTCGCACTCGCTCGCTCATTCACCATAAATGAATAATGTTTTGAGATGAGATATGCATCTTTTAAAGGTTATATGATATCGCACATCTTGTTACTTGCATGAACTTTAGCAGGCAACTTATAACCTACTAGTATTAACCGAGTTTGGTAATACTTATTATTGTATTATATTCTTGTTATACGAAAATAGATGTTTAACTGATTCACAGATGTATATAATTTATATTAAAGACAATTAAAGTGTGTATGTTGGCTTTTCAATTCGTTAATGTCATGCCATGCTATTTATTTTGCTGGTCACGTGTGACCAATAAAATCGTAATACATTAACTCGTTTTGATTTGGTAGAAATGCGTATAATAACAAATTAACGAAGAAAGGAAATTATTTACTTTTTTTGAATTTTTATAATTTATATAGTATTTTACAATGGCCTCTTATTTCATTATTATATTCATTATTCATTATTCATTATTCATTATTCATTATTTCATTATTCATATAAAAATTTTTTTTCCTTTTCTCTATAGCAACAACATGCTTGTCATATTTATTTCCAAGGATTAAATCCAAATATATAATACAAGTAAAAATTCAGAGATATTTAAAGAAAAAAATTTAAAGATTTGAAATATATGAAAACACATACACTTTTTAACACATATTACACCTCTCACATTCTAACAAAGTTCTCAAATATGTATCTACATATTAATATATATATATGTACAACGCATACATATATACACATACTTTTATTATGATATTGTATTATCTAGTTCTGAACGTTGTAGTTCTACTAGTGTTGGTAAATGATGATGAGGATACGATGGTCGAGTCAAGATCGGTACATCTTTTCATTGATGCTTTGGTTTCTTTGATATTAATGGGATTCCCGGAGTTCGATGTAATAATAATGAGCAATCATTAATTTTATTTCGATTCAATTTATTTTGATTATGCGTATTGTCATGTGTCTACGTGTGCATGTTAAGTTCTTTTTTTTTTTATTAAAAAAAGAATTTTG